TCAATGAGAAATCTGTTGTTGTTTATCAAATTTCTTAAAATTAGGTTCATATTCTATATTCAATACCTAAGCACATTTCGCTGTCAATTCATTTCCAAGTTTATTTCTGTCTTGAGATTTTACAAAATTCATGAAGAAAAGCAATTTTTCACATAAATATGTGGACCCAAACATCATTAAAAGAGCATTAACAAGTTTCCTCATCGAAATGAAATTGTTTGGAAATGAATTCCATATGTTTAATATAATATTTCAATTTTTTAGTGCGGGATCATTATTATCTGCTGCACTTACAGAAAATTTTACCTCAGCTTCGGAAATCAAGTTCTCGAATTTATTTTTCCACAATATACTGTTCTGAAATTCAACTAATTCCATTTCTAAATCAAAGATAAAATTTAGTTTTGTATGGATATAAAACAAAGTGAAATGTATTTTCTAAACTTTTAAACTGATTAAATCCCTTGTGAAACTTTATTTTATTTCCTGTACAATGATTAAATAATAAAAAAAATATTTAATCTAAATTTTAAAAAAAAGTGTTTTTAAAATGTTTCTGTAATTTAGGAAAATATTTCATAATTTCATTTCCAAATCTTTATGATGTCAAGTTTCATCACAAATATTTTAATATTTTGAAACATCACTAATATAATTCATAAATTTCAAAACTTTTTATTCAGTTAATTAAAATGCTGAGTGAATTTGAAAATTTATCATAACCCCTGTTTCTTTTTCATTCAAAAATAGCTTTATTTCTTCTAATAAACTGACAAACCGATTAAGAACTTGATTGCAACCGAGCCATCAAACACTGGTTATGTCAAAACCCTAGAAAATTAACACTCATTTGCCTCTAATAACAGTGCCAATTCTTGCATTAAGAGTCCTTGCATTTATAAAATGAATGATTTTTATTACCACTGACATACATTGGAAAATGCTTTTAAACCTTGTTTCCAGCATAAAACTTCCCGGTATATTATACAATGAAGTTCACTCAGAAAATGTCTAATATTTTGCTATTTACTAAAATGTCCAATATTCTTTCCCACCATATTGGGTGCATCATCTGTTGTTATAGAAACAATTTTTGGAGGTCATTGAATTTTTTAAATGCATTATCAAATTCCTTAAAAATATTAAGAAGAGTATGCATCCCTTTCAACATTATTAGTTCTATTAGGCCTTCTTTCAATACATTACCTGATTTATATCAAGCAAAAGCTGCTAGTTGTGTGTAATCATTTTCATCGTTACTCTCATCTAAAGCAATTGAATAAATTTCTGCATACTTAAAATCATTATGTATTTTAGTAGAAATATTTCTTTCTAATTCTATTCCTGGATCTTTAACTGTATTGCAACTTATTGGTAGCTCATTTATATGCTTTATAATCATATATTTTTCTTAAAAATCTGCAAATAAAGTAGCACTACATTCTAAAAATGTTTGTTTCACAAACACTTCTGAAACAGGTTTCTCATGGCAAGCAATGCAATGGGCTACTTGAAAACTTGCAGCCATAATGTTATTCTCCAGAATAAAATGTTTTTTTAAAAAACTTTTTTTTTGTGTGTGTTTATGTATAAGAAATATTTTCTCCTTTGTTTGCTAAACAGCTTAATTAAAATTATGCTGTTAAAAAGCTTCATTTTAATGCAACTTTTCTAATGTCTTTTTACATTGTATGTACATGAAGTTACTTTTTTATTACAAATTATACACGCAGTCATTTTGTTTTTTTCAATCACACCATATTTTTTAAAACCATTCTGCCTGATATGATTTGGAACTGGCATTTTTTTTAACCAATGATGTCATACGGGGCTACAGGAAAAAAAAAAGTAAATAAATATAATAATTTTAGAAGAATTTTTTAATGTAATTGATACACACATATATAGATGAGAAAATCCAATAAAAATTAATAATTAAATACAGATGAGAAAATTTAATGATAAAGAAATAATAAACTTCAATTATTAAATCATGATTTGAAGTTATCTAAAATTACTATCAGTTAGGAGGAAAATTATATCTATGCAGTTTTATTTTCTTCCCCATCTCAGTTTTAAATTTATTATTTTTAAACTTCACTTACAAAACTAATGTTATAAGCATTTTATCTAAACATTTAAAAAATTGAAATAAGTATAAAATTTATTTTATTCCTTTAAATTTGAAGAAAATGGAGTACTTTAGAATACTGAATCTCACTGTTGACTTTGCACAGAGAAGAAATAATATGAAACATTCAGATGCCACTTTTTAAAGTTAATACGAGGGCTATCCAGAAAGTAGATTACGTTTTGGAATAAAAAAATAAACAAATTATAGGAAACAAATTTTATTATATACAGATGAAAGCCACACTCAAATACTACTTTTCTACATAGTCACCATACAAATTAAGGCATTTATCGTAGCGATGTACGAGCTTGGAAATTCCTTCCTTCGTCGAAAAAATTCGGGCCGCCTGCGCCTTCAACCACTTCGTTACCTCTTCTTGCCTTCCATCTTGCACAAAACTTGTGGTAACCAAGCTTTTCGCTGATGATTTCGTGCAACAAACTTCGCGAAATTTGTGGAAAACTCAAAGAAAGTTCCGTTATTGTGAAATTTCGATTTTCACGGACTTTAGCATCGACTTTTTCGAGAAGTTCGGCGGTCACTATGCTGGGTCTCCCACTTCGATCTTCGTCGTGAACATTGGTTCGGCCATTTTGAAATCTTATGACCCACTCCACCTTCAGTGATAATGTTGTCCCCATACACTTCACGAAGCTGCCGATAGATTTCTATCGCTTTACAGTTTTTTGCAGTCAGAAACCTTATTACTGAGCGCACCTCGCGGGATTTTCAATTAACGCAGACATTTCAAACCGTCACAGTATCTGAACGGAGCACAGCACGAACCTCTCACTAGCACGGCTAGATGCAGACTGAGCTGCGCAACGCTCTTACCCCAAGATGGCCGCGCTAGCCCCGCCCCTAGCGGACACAGACGGAAACGTAATCTACTTCCTGGATGGCCCTCGTATGTGTAACAATTGTACTTCAAAAGAAATATATTAGCCATTTATTTCAATAATGTGCTAAAATAGCACCTATCCTTTAAGAGTTCTTTAAAATATTTTTCTAATACATTAGGGAAATTTTTTTACTTTTGTAATTGTAAAATTTATTTTAAAAGCACTACAATATATTATAAACGTTAATTTTTATGCTATATTAAGTCACATTAATATTTATCATAATAATATCATATTTTAACCAAAGATAAAACTAAAATAACGTACACTCCTTTTTGTTGTAATAAGACTTTGGTATTATTCAATTTGGTATAATTCAATTTTGGTAGAAATACAGGTATATTAATAATGAGATCTATAAAACTGTTAATAATCAAGTTCTACATATGTAATAAATTGATTTAAAAAACTATTATAAAATACAAATTTCAAGAAAAGAAATTTTGTTTCATATAATCCTGTTAAAATTTAATGGATAAAACCATTAAAGGTAGATATTAAGTATATGGGAATATTAGATAATGTGATGCTGCTGCATAATGAATAACTTTCTCAATTCACAACAAATACCATTTATTCACCAATAAAAGACATTCCGTTCAAAAGATATTTTATCAAAAATATGAATCATTCAAGATTTTTTTAATTAAAAAGAAGTTCTAAAATCTATATATTAAATATATATCAAAGAAACATTGTTATGGCATGCTTTATGCATAATTCATGTTGCAAAGTTTTAAAACTGCTAACATAGTTTAAATGAAAATCAACATCATTTAAAAAGATTATCAGATAAGTAATAATTATTAACTTAGCTAATACTGAAAACATTGACTTTGATTTAATGTCAGTATATTTGATTCATTTTCAGCTAAGGAATATCATAGTTTCTGAACTTTTTAACGAGAAAAAGCCAGTCCAGTGAAGTATTCTCTAAAATGTTACAGTTTTAATTAGGGAGAAAAGTTTACTGGCATAGTTTAGAAATAGTTTTTACAAGAATAAGAAATCAGAAAATAATTAATCTTACCTCCTTCAGAAACCTTCCTATCATTAGCATCAAAATCTATGCTTTTGTAGCATCTTATTCAGGTGAATGTTAGATGAGCTGCATCACATAACTTTTCAGGCACCTGTGCATTTAAAACTTTAAGCACATGACCTGTAATGAATCACTGGAGCAGATGCAGGATGCACAGTTTGAGTGTTGAGTCATACACAATAGAAAATCAGTTGGCCAACGTCCAGTTTTTTTTTATAAATTCAAAATTAGATATTTATACTTTATTTAATATTTTCAATTGTCTGTCCACTTTTTTATGATTAAAAAAATTATAAAAATCAACATATGTGTCATGAGTCAGTGTCTGACCCGTGGGTTATAGGTTCGCCAAAACTGTTCTATAGTGTATTCATATTAAATAAGAAAAAAACTAATAAAAAAATTCTTGTTATATCAATTTACTCATTTGTTATTCTTCCATATGCTATGAAATGGAAGCATAAGTATGAGTTATGTATGTATACTTATGCTTCCATATGCTATGTCTTAGATTAAAGCTGTGATAATTAAGTCTACTTAATTATCACAATCCCTCCTGGTGTGCTCTGTTAGTGTCACTAAACTACAGTAAGTGTTAGAAATTATTTAATGTAAAGAACTACACTGACAGAGATGTTACATTCCTAAGGTTAAACCAAAAATCTGGAGTTCAGATAAGGGGTTTTTGGTCAGTCTGAGCTCATTTATAGCCTTAATCTAAGATTCTAAGATCTCCACGGAATATAACATGCTTCAACTGCTACATATTATGCAAGCAATTAAATTTTAACATTAGTTTCTTGACTTGATGAACACACTACACAATAGTGACTTGAGATTGCAATTTTTTAAATAACTTGTTTCTGATACAGTGTACATACACTCTGACTAAAATAATATCTTCATTACACAAACATATATATAAAAATAGATGGGGGAAAAAACTTTTATTACAGTACGATACAAAGTACAAATAAATGTTATAAAGCTGACACATCTGTTCTAGTTAAGGAAAAGTTCATAGGTTTTGGAATAAACAATTTTTCTTTCAGAATAAAGATTTTAGCTTCACATTCTCTTTCACTGATTCATACACCCTCTCATAATTTATCTCACTATACATAGATTAAGCTTCAGCTTCATATTCATCTGTATCCGAATCACTTTTCCTTTTGGGTTCTTCCACTGCAAAAAAATTACATAAAATTATGGAAAAAAAAAATTCATTTCATGAATATATACTATATATAGAGAGAGGGGGGCAAGATATTTAAAAAAAAAAAAACACATTACCATCTGCACAGTTTCTAGCACATTGGTTTCCTTTACCTTCAATTTCTAAGTGGAAGGAAGAAAAAATTCATATTAGTTTTTTTTTCCTGCATTAAAAACATGCCAAATGTTACAAAGAAAGAAGAAAAGAAAAATATTATTACCAGTTTTTGAAACTTCAGTGGTATGAGATTGCAGATGACTATAATTACCATCTAAAGACAAAGGGAAAATCATTTAAACGTTTGATATTTCAAAACTGCAATAGAAATGCAAAATTAAAACAAGCCACCCATTTCTTTATTTCAAAGTAATTTACCATTAATATTGCAATAAATCATGCGGTTCACACTAAGCCAGAAACAACAATCTGCAAATTTAATCTGATGATTCTGACACATTTGGGTCTTGAGAAAAATCGATTTATGATTTCTTCATGATAACTCTTATAAATGCATCTTCCTTCTAGCATTATAAGAAAAAAAGGCAAAAATATTTGGAAATGACTGACAAAATGCAGATTTGTGCTTCTGAATTGTGCTACTTCCAACAATATTACTAGGAAATAAAACATATCATTTAATCTAAGCACAGGAAAAAAAAAAAATTAACATAATTCAGGGGAGGATAAGTCATTTTAATGAACAGAAAAACTGTATCAAAAATGAAACCAAAAAAGCTTATAAGCATATCAATAAAGTGAACAATTCAAAACAATAAAATTTTAACCTTTCATAGACAAATTTTCATTGTTCTGATTTTCAATATTTTCATTTCCTACAATGAAGCAAAGAATTAATTAATAAAAATTAAAAATTAATTTGTTCATCAATTTAAAAAAACATTTACTTTCCAGCACCTTTGCTACATTTAGACAAAAACTATAAATATACTACATGTTTGTATAGCTAAAACAATTTTGATTGGAGTTAAAAAATTCGTAGGCATTTATTTAAAATATGAAATGAAAAAGAGAAAAGCCTAAGTGACATACCATAAAAATAGCAACAGATGTGATTATAAATAAAATGCAATGAAAACAAAACCACAAAACTGCATATATGTTAATATATAACAAAAACTACAATTTCTATTTTAAAAAAAAAGGGGGAACATTACCTGTTATGAATGGTTTCGGTGAAACTAAATTAGAAACCTCGCACTTGTCTTTGATGATTTCTGTTGCTAATTGTATTTAAGAATACAAGTTAATTACATTACTAATACATTAGATAAAATAAAACAGTATTTAAAAAAATACAAGCATAAAATATTGAAAAATATATTTTCAGTATAATTTAAAAGTGATAGTGCTTTCCACTGTGTGCATTTGATATGATCATTACAGAATGACTTAGATTATTCAAAAGATATAGTTGAAAGATAGTTGAATTAAAAATTCAACTTATACATAACGATGATATTTGCATCATTAAAGTAAGTAACAAAGCAATATACATTAAATTACAAACTAATATATACCATGTGGGAAAAAACCCCTGACATACTGAAGTTTACTGAGAATACTGATTGGAAGTTTTACTTGATATATTTTTGTTGTACATATATTCAGATGAAAACCTCTTTTCAGCTTTTATGGTTTTAATTTCTCTGGAAAAAATGAAGCTAGAATTTTTACTATTGTAGTTAGTATTTGTGCCCTAAAATTCCAAATAATGAATCTTAGTAATATACAAAAATCACTTTTTGTGAAAAAATACTAATAAAAACTATACACTTTTTTTTGCCTCTTTCCACTTATTTAAATCTTGATCTTTTATCTTGGCTGAATTTTTCACAAAATTATTAATGCGAACAGACTTCCAGTCTTAATCTGAATACTGTATAGGCAAGGATTGATAACGATAGGACACTGACCTCTGACACAGAACAATTAATGCCTATGGAACATTCTGTTGCATAAAAACATAGGGTACCTGATTTTAATTTTATAATCGGAAAATATTAATAAGAATCACTGAAACGTTTTTCTTACAAAGTCAATATTGACAATAATGGTTTTGTTAGAATAATAGCTGAGAATAATTAAGTTATTTTAGAGATTTGTTTAATAATGGTGATTTTGATCTTGACTTACCCAAGTTAGATCAGTTGAATAAAATGAAGTTTTAGTAACCACTTGAGTTACAAATGGTAGTTATATTAAATGGAAATGTAACATAATTCTTACCACATAACATTTATCTTTGTAAATCTATTACTATTCTTATTTTTATTATATAATATTATCTTTGTAAAACTATATTCCATATCCCATATTTTTTTTTACTATTACTGTTCAATAAATTTTACAGAATTTTGTTTTCCAAAATTTTTTATATCACAAATAATTACTTTTATAAATAATATTCTTTCTATAATAGATTTTCAAGCAAGCTATTTCATAAATAATATTTTCTAAATAAATTTCTAAACATACAAAGATTATTGTACTATAATTTTACTAAAAAATAAACAATAAATACCAATAAACTTATTTATACCTTCCCCGTAATCAGACACAGGCTTGCTTGCAGTAGAAACTTCACATAAGACTAAAAAAATTCAAATTTTATAACTTTTTTTGTTCAAACAATAATGCTTTATAAGTTAAAAAATTATACAATAATACTTACCATTCTCTAACAAGTTTTAACAGAACAGTCTGTTAGATGTTTCTTATTCTTTCACAAAAGTAAAACTGCTTTTACACTAAATGGTATATAAACTTTATAGCATATTTACTTAAAATTTATATGTAGAGCATTCAATACTATTTTGCATTCATGTATATGAAAACTATATTCCATATCCCATATTTTTTTTTTTAAATAAGTATTTAGAAACTGTTGCTTCTATTTAACAAAAACAAGAGCAAGTGCAAAGTTTTAAGTGCTATTCCTTGGTCCTACCTATTGCATAACTTCACAGTATTGCAGTACTTAACTGTCATTCAAATTCTTACAATCATTTAGCAACATTGCATTAAAAGTAATATGGTATTTTCTCACATTCTTTTTCCTCTAGCATTTTAGTGCTAGGTTCTGAAAATTCTAAAACTGTTTACATCATTTTCCCCTTCCTCCGTTGTCTACAATTTTACTCTCTGACAGCTAGTTTATTGGCAATTTAATACCCTTGATTATTTTCATTTTAATTACATGTATTCAATTTGTACTAGCATTTTTAAATTTGTATGTCATCCATTTTATTGTCTCTCACATTTGCTATTTGAAACGTATTTTGTGCAGATTCTTTGTTCAGCTTCTTGGATGTAGCAGGTGTTCTCACACTTAAGAAATTTTCCAAACATGTAATTTCTCCTTACTTCTGTTATTTACATTCCACCTCATTGTAACCTTACCTACTGCTGATGATTTCTATCTTTCAGAATCCAGGTCTTTAGTTCACAACCCTTCTTCGGTTCCTCAGATAACTACAGTCAAAACTCATTCATGGTAGATGCACCTAAGACTTTACAAGGTAAGTGAGCCGAACATCCGGCACAATTACTGTCAGATATTGTAATGTTAGCATTATTACCAGGTATTCTTATTGGAAGATAGGTTTCTTAAGAAATAATAAGATAAGTCAAAAGTCATTAATCTGGACTCGTCGGGACTTCGGCGATTCCGGAATATAGATCATCAGCTTAAATCTGGTAGGAGAGCATGCAGAAATTACAAAATTAAAAATATGAAACCGTAATTTATGAAATAAAGAACAATTATGATCTAAAAGGTATCAAAATGTACAAAAAGAAAAAGCTTAATATTTATTTGTTTACTTTATTAAACATTTCTTTCAATGTAAGTTGTTTAAGTTGCTTCGTTTCATGTGATAATACTTTCTCTTTAATTCTATTAAACAGACATAATTTCTTGTTTAGTAACAAAGTTCCGCTGTTCAAGTCCTATAATTGCTGTGTAGAGAATACCGACTAATTTGTCAATCGAAATTTTTTCGTTTTCAATAACCTCTGTGTCGTTTTCTTTACTATCAGAAGCGAATTATAATGACGAGGAATTGTTTTAAATCATATCAGACGGAGTACATCGAGATGAAATACTACATTTAGTAAGGAATTATAAGCCAAATAAAATAAAAACATCTGCCCTGAAGATAAGGATAGTGCTGACAAATCAATTTCCAATTCATTGCGCGCCGCAGCGTTCCCCCCGCCGAGCAGCATGAAATTGATAAACAGATTTCGGATTTCGAAACATACTTTCGCTTTAGATTCTTTACATATTAGCAAATATATATCGGAAATTCTATTTGATATAATCGAAAGTTCAAGCTTACTTTTAAAAAATTGCTCTAACAGTCTGCAAAAAATAATAAGCCAGATCCAATTCGAAAATTAACCTCTTCGCGACGGGCGAATCATATATGCATTTCTTACGGACGCATGTGAGGCCCGGGCGGTTCACCCGTGCACTCCTGGAGAACTGGCCAAGTGAACGGGCAGTGCAGATATGCATTTTAAGCTGAAACAATTTTTAATAGCCACTAGATGGCACTCTGTGTCCATTACATTTAAACTGAACGTAGTTTTAGTATTCTGACCTTCAGATTGTTTATATTCTGGCTGTTTTTGGTATTTTGCTTGTCAGCTGTGGCTGGGGAGGGGGGAAATCGTAATGTAAACAAACGCAGGGCTCTTTAAATCGCTGCGTGCTAATGAAAACATTCTCGTATCTGATTTATATCCAATTCCTTTTTTATTCTATTTTTTTCCTCTACTTTGTACGGTCTTTTAGGGTTACTGTGCGGAGTTTTTTTACGTTTTGCATTGCCTTCAGATATATTTCCGTTCCTTCTTTTTTTATTTAGGAAAGCCTCACCTCCAGTCTATTATGACGGGAAGGAGGCGCTATTTATCAGAGGAAGAATACCCTAGTATGGTTAGTGAACCATTTACTAACGCAAATGAGAGTACTGATTCATTTTGTAAGGAGTTAAAAAGTGATACTTTTTCTAAGAGTTACAAGGTGATACTTCTTTGTGCTTCGAAATTTACCACGCTCGTTTTCATTTTAAATTTTGTTACTTCTTACTGTAAATAGTCTTTATTGTGTTCTTTTTAATAATTTTAAACTTTATTGATGGATTTTATCAATTAAAACTTTAGAATAATTTGAATAGCTCTTCCGAAAAGTATTATGGAAGATAAGCAATTTTTTAAGTAATTTCCATGTAAAAATAAAGAAATAAATGTTTTAAGGGCTAATTTTAACATATATAAGAGCTCAAGTAATAATCTAAAATGATACCAAAAATTACGATGCTAGAAGCGAAACTTTTGTTTTTCTGATTTTTGTTATAAAATTAGGCTTAACGATGCAAAACCTCCGTCCTGTATGGTGACTGCCTTCGATTCTCTTCCGTCCCGCACGAGCGTTTTAAACAAAGGTGCGCCGTCGCGAAAAGGTTAAGGAACAACGCAATCTGCAACATTAACTGAATTAGATAATTTTAGCTTAGCTTATACCGTCTGTTATACATTAAACGCGCATGCGCACACGCACATTTGCAGCTGTAAAGGTCTTACGTGCACATGTAAATGCCTATGCGTAAACGCGACGCATGCGCAGAAAGTTTGTAGCTTTGAGGTCCGGATTATAGATCATTCCGGATTATGGGTGTCTGAATTAACGACTTTTGACTGTACTAGATAATTTCAAAAGAGGTTTTCTGTCAAAGAGATGCCAATCACCAAATCTGGTAGCCTATTTATATTGCATCTCAAATAGCCATGCAATGATAATATATATAATGCTTAGAGTCTGCAATTCTGATTTTTGTAAGAAATAACAGATCACTGTACATATGCAGATGTACACAGTGATCTGCTTTCACTTGAATAAACTTCAGAGAATTGCACAGATTAAATATTGCATACAAAATACAAACGTGACTGTTATCCTTTTTCAGAAATCCTATGATTTACCATGGAATAAAAATCCAACAAGATTTCAAATATTTCAGAATATTAACCCACTTACATATAATTATACATATATATTTTCAAACAATTTAATTAGTGATGCCAAAAAATATACTTTTTTAAAAATAATTAAAAATTCATTTATGTTTTACTATACCATTTTACATAATTACCAACTTTTCCTGGTTTCTCAAATTTTTACAATTCATTGCAAAGTTTAGATTGCTTTTTCGGAGGAATTGCTACTTTTTATATTTTTCTTTGTTAACAATTTAAAGTTCAGTATGATCAACAAGATATTTTGGTTGAAAACAGTGGTTTTTCATTTAAAACTTGTATTAGATTAAAGCTTGAAGTATGCACATCTGCAGGTGTTGGAGACAAGGAAGTGCTAGAAAGAATAAAGTGGTTCAATGGAATGTAAAGAATTTTGGCAAGCTGTCCAGTTATTCAATTACTTAGCCCTGGAATCTTTACCAAAAGGGTCTTTTAGAGGGAGTTTCTGCTCCAGAAGCTTCACATTTATTTTTTTGTAATGATAATAAATAATATTTTACAGTCTCTGTAGCCAGGCTATCACCGTAGAAGGATGTTCTGACATAATATAACCCATGTAATTACATTTTGTCATAATATCACACATGTAATTAAATGAACTTACACATAAAATTAAATAACTTTCAACGAAAGGTCCACAGAAGCAAGGTGAAGCAGATTTAGCTAGTTTTGTGGAACACTAGTTATTTCTGTTTTTGATCTACTCTCAGCCCAAAAGTTTACATTATTAGTTTTTTCCCGTTTCCATGTATGTGATTAAAGGTATCATTAAGTATTTCATACTGTTACAAAATGTACAGGCGCAGTAAAATAGCTTCCCCACAAAGCAGTTTTAGGGTTGCCATAAAATAGCATGGAAAGCAGGGTTGCCACATTTGGCGAGAAATCACACATTTGGTGACATTTGGCGACAAAATCTGCGATATGCCATGGACGGATGGAGAACCTTCTGGAATGAATTCTTACCGGTTTAGTCCAGAATGTTCTCGAACATAAGCTGAAAGCTATATAAACCCTGCTGGTCCGCAGTCAGTTAGAGTGAGTGCCTCGTCGAGAGAGCGAGTCAGAGTGTGAGATAGATAGTATCGCATTGGGGGTCTCATCTAGCGAGTTAATCTCTGTGGAGTCGATTGAGTTGATAGCCGGGCAATGAGTGCCGAGTGGGTCGTCGAGTGCATCGCGGTTAGTGCATTGTCGAGAGAGCGTGTTGAGCTCCGGGAACAACTGAACCAAAGAGTCGGGAGCTGTGCTCTGTGTGTCGTCGAGTGCATCGCGAGTTGTAGCGTGGAGAGTCTTGAGAGTACGTGGAATTCCGAGAACGACCAAGCAGAGTCGGGAGCTGTACTCTGGTGCTTTGCAGTGAAGCTGTCTCCACCGTGATAGCTTGATAACCTGAAAGCTGTCGCTGATCGTGTCAGCGTGTTTACAGTAGTTCATCAACGACTGTAAAATGTGTTTTGGAACTTTCCTGACATTACTGGCTAATAAAGTGTGTTTCGAAGTTTCATCAAGTAGTGTCGTCATTATTTACTCCAAATCCATACGAAC